AAATAATTAGTGGTTTCCTAAAAGGAGAAAAGGTGTGTGAAATAACTTATAGTTCGATAGAAGATATGAACATCTGAAGACAGAACTCTTATAAAAGCAGCACTTTCTAAAAAAAAAGCATAGAGGTAAATAATTAGTGGTTTCCTAAAAGGAGAAAAGGTGTGTGAAATAACTTATAGTTCCCCTTAAATATCATTCTTACTCAATTACAAAACCATTACGTGTGGAGAATTACAGGATAGTGCAATATTTAACGACGATTATTAACTAAAAGGCAGTGCTAGAACACAGATAAAGCCCCAAAGTATAGATGGTAAAATATCCTTAATTAACACTTTGATAAAAAGTGACAATGCAAAACAGGGTTAAACTGGGACAAATCTTATGCTTCACATTTCCTATGGAGTATCCTACACACCAAAACATGTTAGGCATCATGCACAAACCATTTACTCAAAAGTGAGTCAAAAAATAAGGCAGAAAATAATCCCCTCAAAAGTAAATCAAACGCCAATGAAAACGGTTATGACACTAAATATGTGTTTGGAAAATGTTTTCATTTAGAAAATTGTGAATTTAAATTCGTTATAAGGCTTAAAAATGAAACTAGACCCAGTATCACTACATTTGATTCAAGTTTTTTCAACATTTACAGGTCTAAAATGGAAGTAGATACTAGCTCGTAGCCTGTCTTTGGGAAAAAAAGCACAACTTAACAAATTATTTTACTTATATTTATACAATGTTGGCTCATCAGAAAAAAATGAAATTAAAAACCAATCAGAAAAATATCACAAGGACCAAAACTGCAAAACTTGCAAAGCAACACTGTGGAACACAATGACAGAAGAGATGATGGTCCATGTATGTGGATTAGAATAGTCTGGGTGTCAAAAGGGTAGAGAGTAAGTGCCACTTAGAAGTGCTGAAGAAAAGCAAACTGTCTTCTTTACACTTCATGTACAAAGACAAGACTACAACTTACACTAGGGATCTGTGAAAGCAAAAATTCTGAAAGGAAGAAAGGAAGGAAGGAATCAGCCAGCCAGTCCACCAGTAAAGGACATAATCATATAGTAGTATGCTAAACAATTAACAAAATAATGCCTTCTACATGCACTATAACAAGTAAAAACATCCAAACTTATTAAATGAGAAAATGCTGGCAAAATGATTGTTTAAAAATAAAAAGTTACACACGTGCACATACACATACATCTGGTGTGTGCACAGAAAATTTCTAAACATTTACAAAAAATGAGTGGTACCTTGAAAAAGAGTGGGATTGAAGGAGACAGGAAGTTTTCACTTTCTACCCTCCCGTAGGGAAGAAAACTAAAATAAGCATGTGTTATGCTTGGTCAAACAAAAGAGAAAAGTCATGGATCAGTATTTGGGGAAGGTGACTAGAGAAAACCACAGCAACACAGACACAACTACACTTAAAATACTATAACATACTAAAAACACATTAAATGAATGGTGAGATATTTTAAAAGTGCACTCACAATCAAAAAAAGGACCACAAAACTTCACTTGGATAATCATACAGCATTCAATAATATAACGTAGAAACTAGATCTTTCAAAAGCTGTAATTTGCATATGCAGGTTTGCAGGAGTCCTGTAGCATGATCTGTTCAGACCCAATGTTGCAGCTGTAAGAGGCTTCAGAACAACCCACCTCATCTTATCTCTAGACTACATAATCCCCAGTAATACAAATCCTAGGAGTTCTATTTCAATAAAAAAAGCTACTTGTAGAACTTTATGGAGACTCATTTATTTTTAATATTCATCTGGTTTTGAAACTTCTTTGGGGCAAGGGCCCAGTCCGCTTTGTTCTCAATTCATGCCCAGCACTGAGGGCTGTAAATACAGGTGCTCAATACATATATATGTGTGTATGCATATATATACATTTTTTTTAATTGCAGGAAAGAAAGTAGGGAAGTGACTTCTGTGCAAAATTATTAGGAATTATAAGGTCTGAAGTAAAGAAAAAAAGGGCAAGATTAAAATGTGAAAATTGGTTCCTGTCAATTAGGAAAGACCAACAACCCACATGTAATCACATGTCAATGATCGCATTTCTTGCTTCTACCAGTGAAAGAAATAAAGTCACAAGAATATTTAAGTCTAAAACTATCCAACAGAGTAGGAAGGCTACCTAATGTCTACTTTGGAATTACAATAAACAGGGAACAACAGAGATTATTAGGATGCTACAGAACACTAAATATTTGTTGTGAGGAGATGAGGAGAGTAGACATAACAGACCTAGTTTTTTCGGGGAATGATAGGCAAATGAGCTGGCCTGGACTACTGGGGAAAGCAATCTAGTAGTACTTCTGAAACCATACGCAATAAAGGACCAGTCCTAACCTCCAATCTGCACTCATACTTTTATAAAATATATATATTTTAATTGCTACAAAAATGCCACATACTTTAATGTCACAGTAATATAAAATTTCTACGGAAATCTCTAGACTAATTTCTATACTGGTCCCCAGAGATACATTGAATAGTAGAGTTGTTTTTCAATGTCAATCTGGCCTAAAATCTTTGTGTAAAGAGGGTCTATCTCCAAGTGAGAAAATTCAGGTTTTTTTCCTCCACTACTCCATATTGAAGGCAATCCATAAGAAACTATTAGAGATAACAGGTAGCATGGAAACTTGTCATTAACTTGTTTTATTTTTTTGGTGGCTGGCCAGTAAGGCAATCAAACCCTCGGCCTTAGTGTTATAACACTGAGCTCTAAACCAACTGAACTAACTGGTGAGCCAGCCCATTAACTTTAAGTTTTAAAATGTGAAACATCACATTGTCACAATGCCTTACTAAATTAAAATTATACTTTTGAATGAAACTTCAGCATTTAACAATCTCAACTCCTATTGATTTGAACATTTTGCTTTATCTTGCCATTTTTCTTAAAACTATATGATAATATTCATTTATACTATACTCCTATATATTCCTGTACCCTTTGCCTCTGTGTTCTTAAAACTCACCCAACTGAGTAGTTTCGTTGGTTGGTAACAGAGTGAGTCTAGGGAAAATTTCCATCTATTTTTAGCTTCATTACCAAAGGAAGTAAAATATTTATATGCCTGGCTTAAAAACTGACTACAATCTGATATAATTTTTTGTTTTTGTTTTTGACCGATAAGGGGGATCGCAACCCTTGGCTTGGTGTTGTCTGCACCACGCTCAGCCAGCGAGCGCACTGGCCATCCCTATAATAGGATCCGAACCCACGGCGTCGGCGCTGTCAGCACTGCACCTTCCCAAGTGAGCCACGGGACCGGCCCCAATCTGATATAATTTAATGAACCCTACCATACTGAGAAAGTTTAATGTGATTCGGGGTCTCTGGAACCAAATTTCCAAGAATCAAATTCACACTCTGCAACTTACAAACTATAAAGTTACTTAAATTCTCAATGCTCCTATTTCTTCATTTGTAAAATGGGGTAACAGCATCTATATCTCAAAGGATTACTGTTCAGATTAACGAGCATGTAAAGTGATTTGAACACTACCTGGCACACAATTAATACTATGTAAGTGTTTTCATTATTTAATTCTTACACAGAATGCATCAAATCCTTCTGAAGAACTAGCATAATTAACATTAAATTCATTAAATGAAATATGTTACATCTCTACAATGAACTACTGTTCATCCATTAAAGATTATTTCGATTCTCTATTATGAAAATATATTTATAATATCCCGTTGGACATGGAGGAAAGAGTAAGTTATAAAAATCATGTACAGTCTAATTTTATATTTAGAAAATATGCTAATGACATTATGAAAAGTTGCAAGTCACCATGACACAAGTGGCAATTGCCAAAAGTGATTCAGAGTAATTTACCATACCTCCTTGCTTCAGGAAAAAGATTTAAAATAAAATTGTTATTCTAAAATGATAATAAGGATAATCAAATGCAACAAATTATTTTTTTTATGAAATCTGGAACTGTGTACATTTAATGTATTATTTCTCCTATAACCATAAAAGCTGATCTTCTTAAAATTAGACTGCATCTTACAGTTAAGGAAATAGAGCATTAATTTCTAACACATATTAGAACTGGCTACTCCAGTCCCACCCACTGCCAAAACACCACCATCACCATCACTTTTTAGCAAGGTCTTGAAGTGCTCACAACTATACAAATCAACACAGACAATAAATCAGCTTAACCAATCACCCAAGCTTAAACAACAGATACTAATTACAGTATGTTGAGATTATAAACACAAGACTCAGTATTCCTAGAATACTAAATAAGGTGTCTGTGGCATTGAAGAGTACTCGGACAGCAACCTGTGGCACCCTTTAAACTGTTTTAAAATTCTACAATGAAATCAATGCTATTAATTTCATGTTTATTTTATAAAGGATTTTTGTCAAGTTTATCAGTTTTAAAATAATCAATTCATAATCCCCATTTAAAGACAAATTTTCCTCTGAACTAATGATTTCCATTCTGCTACCTATAGTTCAGCCTGCCCTTTGGTCTATGATAGCCATACTTCATTTCACAGGATCTAAACTTATGTATTACAGACAAAATATTTTCCAGTTTGCTTTCAAATGATATTGACAAAGAGTAGATCAAATTTTCAAGTTTACAGAAAACCATACTATAACAATTTACCAATATAAGTATGTCTTAATACCTGTTTATTCCATTCTAGTTAGAGAGCAACACTAACAAAATTCATTTTTTTCCTCCTCATGCTACTCCACAAAATTCTTAATGCATATGCCCCCACCACCTGTACCTTCCCTATGCTATCATTATGACACTTAATAAGAACATTTCAATTCAGCAATCAAATTTTACAATCCCTGTTCCTACCAATCAAATGGTGATTCACCAAGATCCCAATTCTCAGTTTTAATATGAGAGTACATTGCTTACCTAAAACTGAAGGACTGTGCCTTACTTTATAAAAAACAAAAATAGCCACGTCAATTTAATTCCATACATACAATACTACCTATTTATTAAAAATTGTAATAAACAAAATAATCAAACTAGTGCTCCAAACTTATGCTGTTCATTCATGTGGAAGACACTACAAGAGAAGACACAAGAGAGACTGCCTTGCAATAAGAAAAACAAATTCCTTCTACAGAAATGGAGAAATAAAAGGACAAATCTAGTTGTCTAAAAGACAATTCACTGTACACATTTTATTTACAGTTTTGTACACTGTCTTTATATGAATGGGACTGCTTTTCTACTTGAGCCATTTTTAACCAAAGCAAAATAAACTAAGTAATACAAAGTGTTAAAATACAGCATAAAGATACAAAAACAGTCATACTAATTCTATTTAGGAATGTCATTATGATGTTACATTTTTATAATCCACAATTATGTTTAGGAAATCACACAAACATAGATCACTGATTTGAATGAAATGCATAAATTTGCAGCAAAGCTTTGTAGTTACAAAAAACAAAAAAATTACCAAAGAATGCACAAAATTAATGTTTATTCCACCTTTGTGTCATATTCCTGGATCCTTCACCAATGTTACATGAGGAAAAAAACAAAATCAAAACAAATGAAAAACTGAAATCGGAATCACTAATGTTATCAAGCAGGGAAACAAATAAATTAAAATCTAGCAGCCATCAGCAAGAGTACAGCAAAGACAATGCTGTAAAAAGAAACAGAAAATTGCTAGAAAACTGTATGCATCATATTCTTTCAAACCAGCAAAATATGCTCCTGCATACAATGGAACAGAAACAGAATTTTTTCCTATAAGGTATAGAAATGCAAGTTATTTTTAGAATATTGTGAATAAGTAAAACGTGTTTGTAATGGAAATTCTACTAAGCTATTACAGAGTGGGCCAGGAACACATTTATGGATTCTAGGGATATGTGTACTGTAATTCTTTGATTGGGACAGTGGATACTCTAGCCAAAGTTAAAAAAAAAAAATATGAACACAGAAGTACAAGACAAAGGCGAATGAGACTTCTCTTATATCTTAGCAATATTTAGATGGAAATCAAATTTAAATGCAGTCCACTCTGCTTTTGAAGAGGCTTTGGTTCAGCTCCCAAATCTCGATTGCTTGACGCAGTCTCCTATGAGAATATTCAGAAGGTGTCTTCTTAAACAACAAACCTATTTTTAGTGGTGGAGCCGCTCTTAGTAGCTGTGTCTGCATGGGACTGATAACCAATCACCATCTTTGGAGGAAGTCCTAACCTTTCCTTGTATACCCTCCTGGAAGAAAAAGGAAAGTAGCCATTAACTTTATTCACCAAAAAATAATTTTAAAAATTCAGAAGTATTAATCTTTATATAAAAAACTAATATAACTAGACTTGAGAGTGAAATAGGAAACTGCACACCCTTTTTCTTTTAGCACAATTAACTCTTCATTTACACAACAATCTTGATTAATCACTTAATACACATTTGAGCCAATCAAGTATGTATTGGGTACTATGACAATTATTACTAAATAATGAGCAAAGAAGGGACAGTCCCTGGGCTCATGGCATTTACAGTCTAGTGGGGAAAACACAAATAATCAATAAAAATAAAATAAAATAAAATAAAAAATACATATGACGGAGCTGTATCACAAGCATACTTACACAAAAATCAGTAACATGCATATGTCCATTTTCATTCTTTAATCTAAAATGTTATTATATTTTACATATGAGCCCCAGTAAATATTATATATTACTACACAATTACATTTATCATATCTATTATTGACAAGATTGCACAAAATCAAACACTTTGAGGGAGATTTATGATATTTTCACGATAATTTAAAACATACGTAATTTCTACCTTACACACTAACTCTACAATCTAATTTTAAATAAGATGTGGCTCTATTCTAAGAACAAAATGAGTGTCAAAGAGGATAAGTATAAGGGCTATAATACTGCATATCAAGAAGGATCTAATCCCATCTACAAAATTAGAGAAATCTCCCCCTAAAAAGTCATGAGGTTTAAAGTATAAAGTTCAGAAAACAAAGCACATCTGAATGCTGAGGAACAAAAATAAGTCTGTGTGGCTATGGCTCATAAGAAAAGTGAATATGAGGTAAGGCTGACAAGATCTTTGGGAAAGATCACAAAGAGCCTCACAGGTCACCTTAGGAATTTGAGTCTTTATCCTAAGGGGAAAAAAAGCAAAAATTCAAAAATAAGCAGCAAAATCAAATGAAAATAAACGAATAAACATTTTCATGGGATGAAATCCTCTCTCACAGATAGTTTTTCCATACTCTATTCTTCAGAATATTTTACTATCTTCCCCCAAATAAGGTATTTTAAAATAATTTTGTAATAAGTCGCAACTATTATCAGACTTACATTATGATACAATGCATCCTTTTCGATTATTAACCATTAAAAGTGCCAGATAGCAGCAGTACAACTTTTTAAAAAAACATTTAATATTGACACAAATACAAAACTTCCACAGAAATGAAATTCATAATTTCTTTAACTCTAGTTTTCAAGGAAATGTAAAACCCCTACAACAATTAAATTTTGTTACTGACAGAAAGATTGTACATATGATGATAAATCAACAATGAACTATCTCTTACAGACCCCACATAGAATGAAACCTAGGAAATCCCTATACCTTTTGATCCAGAAAGGAATTACGTTCACATGAAAATTCATAATGCTTGAAAAATCACAAAGGGGTAAACCAAACACTTTGTTACCTATGAATGACCAGTACTTGAATTTAACAAAAAATTTAAAATCAACTTTTACTAATTTAAACGTGGTAAAAAGAAAATCCTAGTTTGGGGAGAAAAAAAAAAAGTGACAGGACATTTTTGTAAAGAGTAAAATTTATTTAAAAAAAAAAGTAAGAACCTACACCTGTGGATTTTAAATATGGACAAAAACCAAGATACGTTACTTAAACTTCAATGAAAATTCTATGTAGTGTATAAAATATGCTAAAAATACACATATACCATTTGCCAATATTCACTGAATTATTATGAATATTAAACATTAACACTTATCAAAAGTAGCTGTATTTTTCAAATAGCGCTTTTCAAAGCAGGAAAAAATACTTACATTCTCATTCAGTAAGTGAATAAAATGCTACATGTCAAAGAGTGCTCATATACTCCATTGCTGAGAAAAAGCAATTTTATAGAAATGAAAAAAAATACAAACAAGACATTGAACACTAATAAGCAGTTCAAAATTATAAATTTGTTCATGAAAATAATACAAGGAAAATAACGATCTACAAACCCCAACTGTTTCTTTTTTCTGACTGGTAAGGGGATCGCAACCCTCGGCACAGTGTTGTCTGCAGCACGCGCAGCCAGTGAGCACACCAGCCATCCCTATATAGGATCTGAACCCACGGCCTTGGCGCTACCAGTGCCACACTCTCCAGACTGAATCACGGGGCCAGCCCGAAACCCAACTATTTCTAAAGCTATAAATAAAAGAACTTCTGGTTTTAGTTACCTTAATATTGTAAAAGCAGTAAGCAAAAAGCAAAACTTACCCTATATGTGTAATAGCATCTCTGTTTTCACATTCAGTAGTCCATATTGCTATCTTATCACCTTTAGCTCTAACATTAACAACAGCTCCACATACATCATCACTGTAGTCATCAAAAGATTCTCCAATAAGGCACAGCAGCTTTAAAAAAAATCCCACATTACATCCAATAGATTATAAACAGCTTATTAGACTGCAAATGTCTTTTCTATATTTGTACATACACAAAACTTTAATTTTAAAATGCCTAAATTTTATTTATGTATATAATTCATTGTCCTGACTTTTTAAAAATTCACTTTTATGGTTTTTCATTTAATATCAAAAACATTAACATTTGTTTAAACTTTTTCAGCAAATTGGACAACTGATGTCAAGTCACAGACTGAAGATGAATCATTTTATTAACATTCATTTGCTCTGCCACTGCTTATAATCATATTTGCCAGCAAATAACTATTAATGGAATAACTGAAATAGCTATCATGATTACATTACTGCCTCTTGTTCTTCTTTTTCATGAATACTTGCTAATTTATTTTTATTGTGGCAAATACACATAAATTTACCATTTTAGGTTACCAGAGGCCAGGAGGGGAAGGGGTGAGTGGAAGGAGAAATGGCAGACTAACAGGTACAAAACTCTACTATCTACCCTAGAAGAATCATTGTGTAGTATATCCAGGTACTGGAACAACACACTGTACTCCACAAAAATAAATATAAATAAAATTGAAAAAAAATTTACTATTTTAACCATTTTTAAGTGTACAGTTTACTGGCATTAAGTAGATTCAACACTGTTGTACAACCATCACAATCATTTGTCTCCAGGACTTTTTTCATCTTGCAAAAACTAAAATGTACAGACTTTTAAATGTGGAATTCTAAAATGGTAATTACTGATGATCTTCCCCAAAAGCAAAACTGTTTCGTCTTAAAAAAAAATATTCATTCAAATATTTATTAAGTAATTAATAAGCGTTAACTATAAACCAGACAGTGTCAATTGCTAGCGATATAAAAGAAACTATAAACCCTGTCAAAAGCTTAGGGATTGAAACATGCCTACAGAAAAAGCCTTATAAAGCCAAAAGTTCCAAGTTACATCACAACATGTAAGTTGAATGGCATTAAGCAACAATTTCATTATTTGCTTCATTGATCTAAAAAAAAGTTTGTTATGAATACAGCAACGCTGTAAGTGGGTTGCAAAAACCTTAATAAAACAAAGTGTGAAGTTGTGTAATTTTGAGGTTAATGAAATGACCAGTGGGTTTATTGTGGAAGGTGAGAGTCAATTGCCAATCACTTTATATCCGATTTGTAATGTGGTCGGAAGTTTCACTGTACTAGTATGTAAAGTATATAGGATTCCCGTGAGGAACACAAATAATTGCTGACTTAGATTTTCTAGTGTGAGTAGCAGTATCTCTCCTTAAATTAAGCAACCAAAGTTAAATGTAATGTAAATTAAGTTTCAGTATTCCAAAACTGCCTCTAAAACTGGTTTAATTTAAAAACCTTACTGTCTCTAGCCAAAAGCGATCGAGGTCACTTCGTCTCTGCTGTTTGTTCAATGTAATTAGCCATCGTCCTCCCCGTTTGTTCTTCTCATCTTCCCACATAGGCTCAATACCATCCTACCGGGTTAGAAGACAACAATATTAGACAATACTGTTACTTTGAGAGATAATCTTCAGAAACTGCAAACAACAACACTGTCAACTTTTTACTGTATTTCCCACAAAACTGCCATTGATATAGTTTTTAAAAAGAATACAGGACTTAAAGCCCCAGAGGCATGAGATTACAGAATAGAGTTCTGACTTTGTCACTTATTAGCTATTAAAACATAATTTGGATGCTGTCAAACCTTATGAGTAACAGACATCTTTTGGAAACCATGTACAATTTCTATACCTAGAAAGTACATGTAAAAATTATGCAATTTCAGAATTAATGGATGCTTCATCCCCCTTTTACCTGAATACCTCAAGGACCCATGCACCCCAAGTTAAGAATGCCTGACAAACTCAGTCTGCTCAAAAATATAAAGGGATTGAATTGGATAATCAAAGTTCCAATTAAAATCAACTTCAGTATGTGCCCAGTTATCTCTCAATTTCTATTACTTATACTATATATAAATAGAGCAAAATATTATTTTTTATCATTACTACTTTTTATTTGTATTATTATTTATTCTATATAAAAATAGAGCTAAAGCCTATTAAAGCCAATTTAACTGTTAGTCTTAATATCATAGTATAAATTATTCCTAAGTTTTTGGCAAGATTTCTTAATGAATACCTGAATGATACAGTCCTAAAATAAATATGTGAATATATGAAATCGCCAATTAAGCGTACCTTAAAAAGCGAGTAGTCACAGCCAGGCATTAAATTACTAGACAACTGGATGTGGTTGTACAGACTAGGTAAAAGAAGAGGACAATTAAAAACACAGAATATATAATGCAGAATTCCCGTGCTTACATATATACACATTAGAAAATATGAAAAATAAACAGAAAAAAGATGTTTACTTATTTTTCTACAAAGTCCATTTCTGAATGGACAAAATAGATCTTAATAACAATCAGTTGAAGAATCAACTTCTGATGATACGTATTATTTTCAAGAAAATACTTTTAAAGATTTTATTGACAAAAATATATTTTAATATATTAGTTAACTCAATGCATTCATATCTACATTGAAGAACTTTAAGTAGATGAAAGAATTTATGAGGCTAATGAACAGCTGTTTGTTCACAAACACACCAAAAAATAAATCAAGAGAAAAGACAAACTCTCTGACCAGGATTGTACAACCCAAACAGTCAATATTATAATCCTTGAAGGTATCCAAGAGCAAAACAGACAAGTGGTTCCCAAACACCACAAACTGTTACTAGTTAATCAGCACAATAATCATTTGGGAAGCTTTAAAAAAATATATATAGTTCCAATCCCCTGGGGATTATAATCACTCAAATATGGGGTGGAACCCTGGGATCTGTATTTTTAAGCTATTTTCTAAATATCAAAATAAGAGTAACATTTAAGAAGACTTTGATATTCACTTGCCTGAAGGTAGAAGACTAGATCATTTGATCTTCTGTGGTCCCTTACAGCAAAATTGTTTAAAATTGGCAAGAGAGTAAGAATGCTTTGCCTGTCTCCAATATTAGATGGCAGAAATTATCCTTAGTCAGATTCTCTTGGTGCTATTTTAACCCAGTGTAGAAATATTTCAAGTAGAGATTTCAGAAAAAATTTGGCATCCTTTGAATCATATTCCATAGTATAACACACAAAACCAGTTTGAGTGAGACAGCATAAGACCACATAAGGTTTGTTGAACCATTACCTAATGGTCATTCTTCTTTAACTACATTATCAGTGACAGCCTCCACTAGGCAACAAAAAGGCCTGGATACTACCAGTGACTATAAAATTAGCACCACTAATTTCATAAAATAAATGGATAATGTGGGAGTGACCTTCTTCAATGGCATTCAAGGGAGAAAAGACTAATGCTTCTTTTTGCTGCCTCCATTCTCTTTCATAGCACCCTAAGGTCTCTTAAGCAAGTTTGTAATGAGAATCTCTAAATGGCAAATTAAAACAGAACCCTAAGACTACACAAAATGGATAAATACAAAAGGACTCAATATTGTTTCACTAAATTTGTTAGAAAAAGTGAAAAACTAACAAGTGGCTTGGATATTTGTAGATAGCTGAAGAATTCCTTCATATCTCTAAATTACAGTATAAAAACCCACTATGCAATGACATGACACATAACTAAAGTGTGGGGCAATGTTCTATCTAGAAAACAAGTTAAAAATACAATTATGTAAGCTGGTGAAAGCCAAATAAATTACATAAATGCAAATATATTGGGGGGTGGTGGTGAGGGTGGTGGTGGTTCAAGACACTTCCTTTTCCTCTACAGACTAGAGAGCATTTTTTTGTGTAGAAGACTGGAGAGTTATTCAAGAGTCTTGAATAAACACAATTAGAATAAACACAATTAAAGAAGAAAAAGCACTTGATGTTTTGATGAAGGGCAATGAATAACACTAGTTTAACTAGACAACTAGACCAATGAATTAGGCTTAAATGTAGTTCTATTTTTTTTTAAGACAATGCTTTTAATAAAAAGTTACTACTCTCAACATGATTAGTTCACAACAGTTTTCTTTAATTATTTTATTGCAGGGAACCTTAAGCAATTTTAACTGTTGAGCTTTTCCCTTTTCCACTTGAGAAACTGTTTTAGAAGCTTTATGCTCCATTGGAAATTCAAGCCCCTACCATTGACCCTGCTTGCTTCTTGGGCCCGCCTTCTATGAGATAACAGCAGTCTCACACCCTCCCCCAGGGGCCAGAGGCAAATTAGGCTCCTAAAGTGACCAACAGACTGTGTCCCATAACCAGCCAATCCAAATTAGCAGGACAGCATCCCTCACTTACATAAGAGGACCTAAAAGAGAACCTAGCAGAGAGAAGGGCGGGAATTTAGGCTATATAAAGGGGTTGGTTCCTTTGTTCAGGGAGACACTGGCTTTGGGGTTTCTGCCCTCCAGTGCTTTCCTTGCTTACAAGCAATAAGAGGCACCGTAACACTGAACAAAGAGCTGCAACACTAAAATAAAGAGCTATAAAACTACAACACTAACATCGGTCTTGAATTGCTCTGTGCCTTTGCCCCACAACAATTTTATGCTTTGTTTTTTTTTCAGTGATACAAACAAATGCATACTAAATGTCTCCTACAGGCCAGGCACTGAAAACATACAGAAGAATATTATTTCTGCCCTTGAGGACAGAAATTCATATATGAATTTTATGATCACAAACTATTCCTTTGTGTAGGCAGAATAGACTTAGGGGGTTACATTAAAACATAAGAGTAGCATCACTAATTCAGTATATATAAGATCTGAAAATATACATGTACGAGTCAGAATATTTAGATAATTGCTAGGTAATTTCAAGCTCTTAAAATGTTTTTAATAACTTTTGCCTTTCATGCTCTCAAATAATACTTCCTACACATTCTCCAAGTAAATAAGATACACTAAGTTAACTGTTTTTAGAGAATCAATATCAAACTTCTTGAAACAAAAGACTTTATAATTTTAAATTCTAATTTGAAGTCATGCAGTTTATGATCTCAAATCTTAATTTTTTGCTAAATTGGAAACAAAATCTCAAAAATATTTCAACTCTTCTTGAAGTGGATCACAAAGTTTATGAAATCCATAAACTATCATAATAGATACTATCATTCTCTCAACAAACCCTGAATTTTGAACACTTCAGCCTTTTGATATCTCAAAATCCCTGGAAAAGGAAATTCCAGATGCTGCACCTGAAGAGTTTGCAGAAATAATGACCCAACAACTCTGGAATACATAGTTATGAGGCAAATGTACATAGGTAACCAAGAAAGGAAACAAGTTCCAACTAGTTGTCAGAAGTGTGAGGGGCAATAAAGGATTCTCAAACCAGGATATCTCAGGACAAGGAATAGAGAATATTCAGGGCTAAAGGGTTACAAGCTTTCTAAAACTGTTGAGGCATAATCACCAATTCAAACATTTGTGAGCAGATGGACAAACAAAAGGTAGTTCTGTAGATGAATATTCATTATGTATTCAATTCACCCTTCATCTGACTTAAAATGAAAAAACACACAACTAATAAAACAACAAATATCCTAAAATAAAGTTACTTACGCCCAAAAGTCTTCAACAGTATCAAACTTAGAGATCAGCCGAAGGTTTGCTTGCCAAGTTTTGCTTTTATCATTTTTAAAAAACCAGAGCGCCCATCTAAAAATAAAAAATCCACGTCAAAAAAAGGTACTTGCACAACTATGTTCACAACAGCATTCTTCCCCATAGTCAAAACGTGGTAGCAGGGCTGGCCAGTTACCTGAGTTGGTTACAGTGTGGGGCTTATAACACCAAGATCCAGGGTTCAATCCCTATACCAGCCAGCCACCAAAAAAAAAAAAAAAAGTGGAAGCAACTCAAGTGTTCAAAATGTAACATATACATTCAATGGAATATTCATCAGCCTTAAAGAGGAAGGAAATTCTGACATTTGACACAACATGAATGAAGGCTAAGGACATTATGCTAAGTGAAATAAGCCAGTCACAAAAAGATAAATATATGATTCCACTTAAATGAATTCCTACAGTACTCAAATTCACAGAAAGAGAAAGTAGAACAGTGGTTGCCCGGGCTTGACATGGGGAAATGGGGAATGGGAAATGTTGTTTAACAGAGTTACAGAGTTGTTAGTTTTGCAAGATGAAGAGAGTTCTGGAGATTGGTTGCACAACAATGTGAATGTGCTTAGCATTACTGAGCTGTACATTTAAAAATGGTTAACTTCCTCATACCAGCCACCAAAAAAAAAAGAAAAGAAATTTTGTTATGCATATTTTACCACAAAAATTTAGAAAAAATACTTTTTTTTAAATGACAGTTGTTATTACAGTGGCAAATAATGAGTAGTTTTCTGCTATAGATAGTAGTTTCTGCAAGATAGACAAGTGAATTTTAATGCAACATAGTAAAAGTTCTTGGATACAGTTTCAGATTGCATATTGCAACTAACCTATAAGAAACCTAGTAGTAAAGGAGAGTATCCACAATTATTTTTAAAGGCCATTAAAAATTCTCCTCCCATTTCCAACCATGTACCTGTGTGGGGCCATATTTTCTTCTTATACTTCCACTGAAACAAATTATCTCCACAGACTGAATGCAGAAGCAGCTACAGAAATCCAGCTGACTTTTATTAAGTCAGGCACTTAAATAGATTTGCAAAAATCCAATAATTCTTCCCATTATATGTTTTTCATTTCAAATAATAGTTATTTTCATTAAAATGTGTTACTTATGTTAACATGTGATGGGCCTTTTAAATGAATATATAATTTTAAAATGAATATATAATATCAGTGAAAAATAAAGTAACATCTTAGCATTACTCACTATAAAAATACAGTAAGTAGCAATAGATAAAGATCCACACAATCAAAGCTCTGTGGAGTCCTCAATAATTTTTAAGAGTGTAAAGGGGTTGCAGGACCAAACATTTAAAAACTGCTGATTTAAATAAAATATGACACATCCATGCAAGAGATTACTATGCAGCTACCAAAAAGGATAAATTTGTGGTAAAGTTTTCCTAAGACTGATATGAAACCCAGAAGCCATGGAGGAAAAGTGATATTTGCCTATGCGAAAACTAAAAACCTCTAAAAACATCTAATTCCACAGACAATGTTAAAAGACAAGTGATTTAGACAAACTTTTTCAACTTAACACTCCCCCCCATCCCCAGCTTTGGGTTGACTAGCATCCCTAATATACAATGCTTGGAAATAAACTTGAAAAGATAAATCCGAAAGAAAAAAAAAAAAAAAAAGGACAAAAGAAGTGAATGAACTTCCACACATAAAAATGCTTTACAACATCGATAAAGAAATACATATTAAAAACAATAAGACATTGTTTTCACAAATCAGACTAGGACCAATCTGATTGGCAACAAAAAAGATGATGACACCAGTTGGGGAAGGATGTAGAAACCAGGAACTCTCAAACCATTAAAGAATATAAGCCGATAAAGGAGAGTAATTTGGCATTATTGGCAAAGGTGGTTAAAGGGTAATCTTCCTCCTAGGAAATCTGAAATTTCACCCTATAAATATTCATACAAGTGCATAAATACAAAAGGATGTAAACTGCAGCACTGCTTGTAAATAGGGGGAAAAAAATCTATACACCCATTATTGTGAGCCTGATAAAATACATGACTGTATATTCACATAATACAAGATAGTAGTTTAAAACAATGAGGCCAAATCTGCACATACAAACAAACAAACAAAATTAACAGTAAGGTTATTTGCATAAAAAAAGTATACATATGTGCATTTAAAAGGTATGGAATAATACAAACCAAACTTAATGCTAACTACTACGGGGAGTGGAGAAAAGTAAAATAGGGTGAGTATATTTGAGAAGGCAAAGAACTTTTACTTATATACTTGTACTCTGTTCATTTAATCTTTCTTATAATAATTATGGGTTTTTTAAAAATAAAGCATAATAAATTCTGCAATAGTAATGAAAATAATACAGAAACTACCAAAACTTGAACATAAAGCATTTTATTATATCCTTCCAAATTATTTTACATAAAAAGTGGAATTTATTGGGAAACTGAAGTCCCCAGAGACTTCGTTTTAGGATTTAATCAATTTGTTTAAAGTGCCATCAGTAAACAGATTGATTAAATCCTATGATGACACTTTTCAGGATTCTCTTCTCAGATTTCATCCGAGCTGTGAGGGGATATATGCCTTGATTACTTCTCCCCACTATAACAGCAACTCTAAGGACCATGTTCACAGACAGCTAGAAGTTATACAGAGTTAGCTTTTTTATAAGGTATCACTGAAATGACAAAAAAAAAATCTCTTAAGGGTTTTGGTGGTACTATTAAGTTGAACTATATGAAACTGCTACTAAATCAATTGTTCAACTTAATACATTTTGTACAATGCTTTCCTGAGGAAGGATTTTACCTTTTATGAACTATTTGACTTTTAACGTCACATTAGCTGACAATCCCCATTGTATAAAAAACTTAATTTGTTCCTCACTGAAGGATAAACTGAACCACAGGGTCTCTGAGGAGAAAACTGCATTAAGCATAGTTATATTATTTCAGTTGGTCTACCATGATAATGAAGGAAAGATAAAAATACTAAGGCCATAAAGGGAAAATATATTTTTTAGATAAATGAAACTAAATTATGAACAGGCCTGTGGGCTCTTTTAAGTACATAAAGTAAAAGGTCTGCCCTGGAAAAGTAAATGAAAAGAAAGACAATAAAAAGAATTGAAATACTTTAAGATCTTCAGAGGTTAATTCCAATTTACTTTTCTCTAGATTCTTACAATGTTATAAGCTGCCTTTTTATTCCTACAAATCAACCTTCAGTGAATTCAAGTTAATATCCATTGTATAACCCAGAATAACAATAAGTAAATACACAAACATACTGGGAAGGAGTGGATGGAGTTGGAAAAAAATCACGTAATGAACTCAACTTCCTACTACACTGTTAACTATGAAAACTTAAGTCATTTTAATCTTGCCTCTTTTTCCTCTCCTAATTTGTCTGTCTCTTAAATACAAAACCAACCTCCAGACTCCACATCCCCTAGCTCTCCTTTCAATTTCTCAGCCCAACTTCAAATTACCTGTTCCTGGCTGTATACATTGGTATATGTCCTATACACTCTTCAAACTGCTCCAGTCTCTTTTCCTATCATCTACACTATACTAAAAAACTTTCTCCTAAGTCAGCAAGAACTTTTTTTATTGTTCAATCTGATGGATATTTTGAGACCTTGTTTTCTTTGACCTTTTGGCACATGAGCTGTTGACCACCCTTTTCTTAGAACAAACCATTTTTTCAGTTTTCATGACCACTCTGTCCTAGCTTATCTCTATATCCTTCCCAAGCATTCTCCACCAACAAAAACACCCTACATGCTGGTATTCCAGGCATTTGTCCTAAGTTCGCTTTTCCTTAAGAGAACTAATTTACTACTGTTGTTTCAATTACCACCAACATACTGATGAATTTCAAACCAATCTCTTGCCGAGTTCTTTCTGAGCTCAAGATTCACACATAAAACTTCTTGCTATAGGGCTGGCCAGTTAGCTCTGTTGGTTGAAGCACAGCCTTATACTACCAAGGTCACAAGTTCAGCTGCACCACCCCCCTAAAAAAAAACCCACAAAACTGCTTGCTAGTCATGGGTCATCCAAGCAAAAATGGAACCCAAAACCATAGCACATCTAAAACTAGTCTCATCTAACCTTGCCCTTCAAACATGCCTTGTTCACCCTGTTCATACCATTTATGTTACTGCCTAAGTGAGAAAACCAAGGTGTCAGAAAGCTTTACCTGTTCTGTAGAGGATGTTTAATATAGTGTTCTGGGTTAGCAACCTCCTGATTAGATTCTATTTTCTCTTCTTCTGTAGGCGGGGGATTAGGAGTAGGGTTGGTTTCCTAGTGAAAAATAATATAAAACATTATTTTAAATTTCTTAACATACCTATGATAGCAATATTCTAAACAAATTTGAACTAATATTGCTGATAATATATCTTTAAGAAGAAATTAAAAGCAGATGATTACATAAAACAGACTAAATACCAACCTATAAGAATAGAACCAGACTCTCCATTCTAGTATCTCTTCATTAAGAGCAAAGGGTTTCTCAAACTTAAAAATATAACAATTATATACACAGGTATCCCCCCACTTGCACATTTCTTTAATATCAGGAAGACTGTCATAGACTATGCAACAAGTTGGGAAAATCGGCTCTCTTTCTTAACATACCATCATATTAAAGTACTTTATGGCATATAGAGTACTTTATGGCAATGGTCAGGTGGGGGGGATGAAAACTAAAGTTTGAAGAGTATAATAATGGTATTACAATGACAAAAAAAGCTCTGTAAAGGACAAAGCCAAAGATAAACAGGTCTTTGCCTTCCTGTCATACTGTTTACTCTATGGTAATTTAAAAGTTCAATAACTTGACATTTTCAATGGGCACCAAGCAAAGGTGGACATTGGCTTGAACTTAAATCTTTTTGTAGGCTAGGCATAATTAATATCATCTAAAAATATAAGAAAAGGAGCCTGGGGATAATAATTTAAGATAGGTATTTACCTATCTTAAATTCCTTCATGTAGCTCTTCATCCTATTATAAATTGTTATCAACAAAACACATAGCCAAGGAAAGGCACCAGAAGCTGAAACAAAAGCTGATAGAAAAAAAAAAAAAAAAAAAGGGCCGGCCCAGTGGTGCACGGGAGAGTGCGCCGCCTGGGAGCACGGCGGCACTCCCGCCGAGGGTTCAGATCCCATGTGGAGACCGGTTCCCGCTCACTGGTTGAGCACAGTGCAGGCGCAACACCGAGGGTTGCGATCCCGTTGCCGGTCCCCAGTGCGGGCGCGACACCGAGGCTTGCGATCCCGTTACTGGTCAGTAAAAAAGATAAAAAGGAAAAAAAAAAAGGCACTGCAACAAGTGTTTGGGTATTAGATTTAAATTGAACCAGCAAAACAACAGAGATATATGTTAACATAACAAGATATGTAAGTCAGATATATATGATCTAAAAGACCTCAGAGTGGATAGGTGATAAGTATTCATTTTTAAAAATTCATTTTTTCTTATCAACATATAACCTGTGCAGGAACTTCTAGTAGCCTATAAAGTCACTCAGAACTGAGGCCGTCTTAATTTTGCTCACAACTGAATTGCCAATAACACAGTGCTTAACCCAGTAGGAATTTACTGGCTTGATTATTCAACTGAATAAAATTTAAATGTTTACATAAAATAGTTTAGGCCCTAAAGTTTACATACAATAGTCAACGCCTTAAAATCACCATTTTAACCAGCATTTTCTCATCAATTTAAATCTTCCAACAGATGATAATTACTGAATGTTATTTCCTACCCCACACACTATCTTAAAATTAATCATATTCTCCAGACAGTGGAAGTCTCAATGGATACAGAAAACAGGGAACAGACTTAGAACTGTCAAGGAAGGTGGGCTTTGGGGGACAGGGAACCAGAGAAAAATGAGCTGCAGAGAAGCCCCCAAATTCTATGTAAAAATCCCTCAGAGGTGCTTGGCTAACTCCTAATCTGGCATGTTCAGAGTGCAACTCTGGGTGGCCTAGCAGAGAACAGCAGAGTCAAAACTCCAGAATTAGGGAAACTGGTTCAGACCCAGCCAAAGTGAGGGAAAACCATCAGCTTTTAGACAAAATCATAGAAAGGACATAACCTAGCAATAAGGATCACATGCTCTTAGGAGTAAGGTGTAAGCCTTATGAGTAAAGCAAAACTGAAATATACCTGTCTAACAAATCCTAAAACCAAGCCTTGACAAGATGAAGGTAATCTACCTATAAATTAACTGTCTCCAAGAACCAAACTGTACTCTCTCTTCATAGGAAGATAATATAATCCTGAGCTTCTATTAATGTTATCTACAATATCTAGCAATCAAACATTACTAGGCATGCAAAGAATTTTTAAAAGTGACTAACAATCAAAAGATTAAAATGTCCATGGAAGGATGCCCAGAAATGATCCAGACATTGGAGGCAGCGATGACTTAATAACTATGATTACCATGGCAAAATATAAAAAAGATAAGGAAAATAAATGAAAATATTGGGAATATTTGAAAAAGGAATTGTAATCAAATAGACATTCTTAAACTGCCAACAACAATATCTGAAATTAAGAACTCACTGAATGAGTAACAGACTGAACTCAGAAGAATGCAGCATTAGTGAACTCAAAGACAGGTCAAAAGAAAATACTCAAACTGAAGCACAGAGAAGGAGGGAATAAGCCTTTAAGAAATGTGGAAGATGGTTAAAAGGTTCAAGGACAAGATGAGAGATAATGGGACAGAAGCAAAACATAAAGAAATAGACAAAAATTTACCAATCTGATCAAAAACTTAAGTCACAAGTTCAAGCAGGTCAGAAAACTCTAAAGCAGTATAAATACAAACAAAACTATATCTGGGCACACCAGAATAACACGAAAACCAAAGATGAAGAGGCAATATTAAATGCACTCAGAAAACACACACACAAGCAATTTTCTTGGAAACAACAAGAATAACAGCTAACTTTTCAACAAAATCTATGAAAGCCATAAGACAACAAAATGACATCTTAGTGCTGAAAGAAAAATCTTTCATCTTAGAATTTGATGCCTAGAAAAAAATATTCTTCAAAAACAAAAGAAACAAAGACAGTCTCAGACCAACAGACACACCACTACCACCTCCCATCCTCACCCCCTGCCCTCCAGTGGATCCAAAGTAAGGGAAATCTTCGGCCTGGAAGGAACATATCCCAGATGGGAGGATGGAGATGCAAAACAAAACAAAACAAAAAAACCCAAACAAACAGACAGGAAGTACAGACTATTAACAGTTTAAAGGTGCAATAATATTGATGTCCTATGGGATTCAAAATAATAATGGTCCCACCCAAAAGTCCAGTATATGTGGGTTTGAGGCTGGGTATGCCAGTAAAAGAACACTTCCTCCCAAAGTTAAGTAGTACTATAAATTCTCTTGAATTTACTCCTAAACTCAAAATCCTCATTATAAACCACACTATCACAACATTTAAACATTTTACCTCAGCAGCACATAAAAAACAATTAAGTAATTACTGTATGGGTAATTACAAGTTTCATGGGGTATAAAATGTCACCTTTAACTTGTTTAGTACTTTCTCTTCTTCTCTATTATTCCATTCTTTTTATTGTTAGGAGAATGGTGGCAAACTAAGATGGTATCAAATCTTTGGACAGATAGGAACTAATAGCAGATAATCATTCAGGAAAAAAACGTGTTCAATTCCTAGACTTAAAAAAAGCATCCTTTTGAATTAAACTAAAAGTCCTACTTAAAGTAACAGATGATGTAATCTTTATATTAAGAACACACGACTTTGTACTTTTCCTATAACTAAAATCAAAATAGCTACTCCTTGTGTGTAGAGTATGAATCAGTAAGATACTAATTTAAAATCCTTTGGTTTTCACTTTTATTTATTTATTTTTTGGTGGCTGGTGGGGGGATCTGAACCCTTGACCTTGGTGTTACAACACCATGCTCTAACCAATGGAGGTAACTGGCAAGCCCTCACTTTTAATATTATATAAACATATCTGATTTTAAGATATGCTCTGAAATATCATAAAAATTGTTTACTGGCCATATACAATCATCTTCCCAGTATTTGAAAAAATTTTTAAATTCATGCACATAGATGCTTCTCTTTTAGTCTCTTAAGTTACTATCTACAATTTACTAGACTCATGTTCAATTTTTTTAACATATGAATTTCTCAAATCTTCTTAATAAAGTAGGATGGTTTTAATAGCCAAGTTTCAAAGATAAAACACGAAATACTCAAATATGCTATCAAAACACTCATTCATGTGGCATGGACCAAATCTAACAATAAAATTTAGAAATTACTTCCTGATGAAAATTACTTACAAGGGCATTAATATTTTAAAACGTATATAAAAGGAAATACCTTCTTGGCAAAAATTTTCTCATTTAGGTTATATTCTGTGATCTACTTATCTCAATCCATTCTTAATCAGCAGCAATTTAAACCAAAAAGCTTAGTATTAACCATTCATCCTTTAAGCTTCTTCATTTTGCAATATCTTGTAAATTATTGTAAAAAGGGACAAGCTGTTTAAGAGAATGAGTAGAGACATACCTAATTATGAAATCATTTTCTGTTACTTCAACTTATTATTTGTTATAAAATCTCTTAACCTCAATTCAAATAACCAAGATGTTTTTCCTTTCTTATATTTAACTTGGATAAAACGAAACATAATATCCATATGGGATGTTATTTAAAACTTTCAGGCTTGTTCTTTGGGGATGGTCCAATTCTATGCGTAAAGTCTAATTCCCCACAGAGTCTAATAGACTTTTTGAATCTATTGCATTATATACAATGAAAAGTGGACATGCTGTATTAAATTCCTCAATCAAAAAATGATTTATAATAATGGGACTATACCAAATCAGAACAAAGAAATATATTTCACTTTTAAAAGAACTTTAACAAAAATTCTTTCAGGTTACTCCACAGTTAAACATAAACTTCAATTAGCTATGTCAAATCTCCAAATTATTCATAATTTGTTTTAGTTTACTAAGTATGTTTAATATAAACTAAATTTAAAAATAAAATTAAATATTTAAAAATTGAACTCCCTCTTAAAATTCTTCCTAAAGCTAATTTAACTGAGGCATCCGGGACTTAGCATGAACCACAAAATAGGTGCAGCAGGGCTTGTACCATCAACTTCACAAACTTTTCCCTGAAAACTCTGTAACAGGTGTTTTCATGAGATACATTTGAAAAATTATCCCAATCAGTTATTTTTTAATTATACAAGACAGGCAAATAAGCAAG